ACAGACTTACCTCCTATTTACTATGATAATACTACAATTCCATTCAGTAATTCTGTTAGATATCTTGGCCTTCACATCGACAGCACGCTGAATTGGAGAACTCAGGTTTCAGGTGTGAGTCGTAAAGTCACTGCCACGTTATGCTCTCTGTATCGTATAAAGCATTTTCTCTTCACAAAATCTAAGATTATGCTTGTCCATTCACTTATATTACCCATAATTGATTATGGAGATGTGTGTTACCCAGACCTGTCCCAAGATCTTCTGAACAAGCTGGAACGCCTCCTCAATAACTGTATAAGATTTATCTTTGGGCTTAGTAAGTATGATTATATTTCGCAATACATATTTAAGCTAAATTGGCTTACAATCCGGCAGAGGCGCAACTCCAGAATATTACTTGTACTTTTTCCGTATTAAGTGATCGCTTCGCCTTTTTATCTTAAGAGTAAATTTCATTATCTTACCTCATCTCGTGATAGGGTCCTACGCTCTTCTTCTAATAACAAAATCTGTACTCCAGTTCACTTCACCGTGTTCTATGGTAACTCCTTCACAGTTCAGGCTACACGCCTTTGGAACTCCTTGCCCGATGACATCAGAAAAGCTCCCAATAAGTACGCTTTTAAAAAGTTGGTCCGTGATCATTTATTAAAGACAACGCATTCTACATGACTCATCTATTTAATATGTATTGCCAAACAGACGTATATATTCATAGTCATTTGTATATACTAATTATGTATGTATTTAAATATGTTTACTTGTATGTATATCCATTTATTTATATATTTGTATATATGTAAGGATAGATCATATATGTATAGTTTATTTATTAGTAGTTTGTATATATTATGTAGTTAATTATCATTTGTATTGTGTTATCTTATTCTATATTGCCACAACTACGTCAAATTCTCACCACTCCATGGGTTGACTGGTAGAGAATGCCTCAAGGCATTAAGTCCGTCCTTTGTATTCTTTTGTTAAGGATGCAATAGAGAATAAAATAAATAAATAAATAAATATTCATCGTACTGTTAGCAGACGATGAGGCACTTGGAAGAGAATTATTTATCTCTGGCAGTTCGGGTTTTTCTGTTTTGGACGAGCTATCTTTTATAGTTTTCATGGAATCCTTAAATGATTTTGGAGTTTTTAAACAAGTGATAAGATGTTGAAGCATTTTGGCAGCATTACTAAATTTATAGACCTTATTACAACTTGCAGGAAACAGACTTGTGTGGTAAAGTACGGTAGTGCTCCTATATGCGTAAATCTTTAGGTCGCCCCATTGTACCTAAAAAATTGTACATTATTTGGTTTTGAACTAAATCAAGCAGGCTAGAAAAATAATGTTATTTAAATTATTTTAATTAAAAGATTAACTTATTTAAGAACCTTGGCCCAGGGAGTTCATAAAAAAAGTTGAACTAGAATATGTACCTACTTAAACTGTATTTTTCTCTTTACAATAAAAAAATCAACTTCGATTTAAATCATTGCTGTTTACAATATAAATCTTAATTTAAATCAATTTGGTTGATATCAATTTCAAACAGCAAACCTTGGCCTCAAGAGTTAAAATATCGTAGAAAAAAAAAACTAAAGTCATATTTACTGTATCAATTATCGATATAAATAAAATTGTTTTGATTCCTAAAAATATAAATTTCTAACAATTGAAACCTCACTTAACATATAAAAACAAACAGTTTAATTAATAAATTTTATTATTATGTATTTTTTTTAATTTGTTAACTTTATAAAAACTTTCTTCACTCCTACTCCTAATACGTTAATTCAGGAATCAAAGTACAGGTACACACGTCTACAATTTTCATTTAATGAACGCGTCTGACAGTTTTTATTGCGCCTCATCTTCATTCAGCGTTGATGAATAGGGGAATTCCGCATTATAATGTATTGCAAGCGTAGAGATGTCGCTTCAAATCCATAGACAAAAAAGGTAATAACACTTCTCGATACTAGATGGCGCTAGTCATATCTTAAGAAAGTTTGCGGAGTGAAATAATTATAGTGTGTACACACGTTCCGATCCGACGGCCAATTAATTTACCATAATAAATATTATTCGTGTTTGACGCGGTCTGGCCGGATTTGGTTCATACGAAATTCACTTCCAACTAAATCGGAACATGTGTAGGCTTCCCGCCCGGATCAACTGCGCAGTTTTGACAATTTCGGAGATTTTCCCCAGATTTAGGGAGAAAAAATGTAAAAACTGAAATCTTTGAGGCGGACCGAATACGTTTGAGGGATTTTCAGAATATTCAATTCAATGCTCGTTTATGATTTTCGCGTAGGACTTACCGAACGAATGGTTTAAATCTGCCCATTAGTGCAAAGATTCTTTTATCTTTTAGCTTTTTTTTCGTTTATTTTATCCAATAACTCGATTTTGTCGTAAAACTAAATTTATATAAAGAAGACATATGAATATTTAGCTTGTATTAGTATTGTGTACGCTTGTATTCGCATAGCAGTTCTATTTTTTTTGTAATTGTAGAAAAAAGAAATCCGCTAAGCCGTAGCCGTAGCCGATCTCCAAATATAGTGAGACCAGGTGTCCAAAAGATTTGCTCGGGATAGCCACAATGAAAAAAAAACCAGAACAGAGAAAAAAAAACTTACAAAAACAAAGAAGAAACAAACTGTTCCGAATGCGCAACATTGTATGAAGAAAATGATAAAAGAAACGAATATTTTGGAATGTTAGTGGCTGAAGAATTTAAATATATACGGCCATGTGTTCGCACGAGGTTTTATGAGGAAATTTTAAAATATCTACGGCAAGCAAAAGGCCAACATGTTGGTCAACTACAACATGAAAGTACCGAAAACTAATATTGGGTGACGTTTCTTTAAATTTCTATAGTTGTATTGATCATTATAATCAATAAAAATAAATTATAAAACTTGTTTTTAATATTACTTAAGTATTTACACAAATTAAATAAACACCAACTTTTTGGGTGTTTATGGGTGTTTATGGGTGTTTACGGGTGTTTATTGGGTTTTTACCCGGTGCTTTGCCCATCTGTAGCCGGGATGAAAGATGTGATTTAGATGTCGACGGGCGTGTCGTTGCCGGGAGCAGTCAATGGTGCCCTAAATGCGTTATTCAAAATAGTTAACCCGTGAGAAGGCGCGCCTAATTTTCTTACACGAGTAGGCGCGCGCGAGCAAATTGCTCACACTATCATAAATGTTCATATTTTTAGTGTTTCTATATTTATTGGCTTATAATGTATTTAAATAAATAACACAATGTTTAGTAAGTAAGAAAACAAGTATTTTAATCAAAACTATTAAACATAATAGCAACTTCTAACGCAAATAACAAAACAACCTAGTATTAATTAAATTTTTTGGCACGTTTCATAAAAATCACAATAAAAACTGTTACATAACAAAAACTAAAAAGTGTTATTCATCCATTAAATCTACACTAATGTGCCTCTCGAAACACACTGAACACATGTATTTTACATGTTCGGTGCAAAGTAATTGCTTGCACGAAGTACATGGTTTTTTTGACCTTCTATTTTTACGTCTAGGACATATTGCACAAAATCCGCTTGGTCCTGGCTCCGCAACAGGCACAGGAGCCGGCACAAATCGCTTCATTAGAAATTTGAGATCTGAGGATATGTTCTCCATGCGAATCCTGCATGAAATATGTGGTTTCACCAGCCCGAGAGCCACCTCTTTCAAGAATGTTCGTCTCTCAATCAGAGTGTTTGTGTTGGCTTTGTATATTATTTGGGCATTGATCCCAGTTATATTCAAAATGGAGAAGAATAAGCGCATTGATGTGATTCTGGCAACGGAATAATCCTCTTTCTTTTGATCTACAACATCTACGCCTCCTTTTGTGGAATTGTAAAATGTTACAATCTCAGGTTTAGCTTCACTTCCAGGTTCTTGGTATATAGCGTCGTCATTGTGAAGTGTTGATAGCATAAGGACAATCTTCTTCGTTTTTTTCTTTGGCACATATGATAAGATTATCTTATCTTCACAGAAACCAAAAATTGAACTTGGCATTGGCCTATCCTTTGTTGACAAAAAAGAAGGCGGAATCTCTTTTTTATTTTTTCGCAGTGTTCCCACCGATGTTGTTCTGTAGGCGTTTTTCAGTTCATCAAACAACGGTATGGATGTAAAATAATTGTCCATAGTTAGATTTACAATATGGGTTGTGCAATTCTCTTCACTACATCAGCAGCGGAGTTACTCAAACTGAATGGCCCTGCGGGTTGTTTCCCGGCGTAAATCTCCAAATTACTTGTGTAGAAGGTTTTGGAATCTACAAGTGCATAGATTTTGATGCCGTACTTTGCGGGTTTGTTGGATATATAAACTCTAAATTTACAGCGGCCTCTGAATGATTCCAACATTTCATCCACAGTGCAGTATTCCCCGGGTGTGTAATTTTGATTACAATGAGCAACAAAGCTTTCAAAAATTTCTCGGATTGGTGCCAGGTGGTCGGTTTCCTTTCTGTTATCACGAGTATTTATGTCATCGAATCGCAAAACCCGTAACAAAAATAAAAATCTTTTTTATTGACATGGTTGCTCTAAAAAAATCACATGCTGTTCCATCATCTAGCCACATTTCTTTTACATTTAAATGACAGATCTTTTTCAAGCCCGCCATGTACAAAACTCCGATCAATGCTTTTATTTCAACTGCATCTGTAAGTTTGCAATCCCGTTCACGTGAAAACTTTTCTTGTAGTTTAGTTATGTACACATTCGTGTACAGGACTATTTTGTATCATGGTATCATCCACAATGATTAACATTACTACTACATTTTCAAAATTAAAGTTTCTTTGGCATTCTTAGCTACATTTTTTACTCCTGACAGGTGGATAACTATGTTATAACTCTTAGTACGTACGTTACGTAAAGGCTCGTGGATAAGCCATTTTGTGGAACGATCTTTGCCAATATAGTATGGGATCCTACCTCTTTGTTGTTGAGTCGCGGGAGTCGTTTTCATCCGACGATTGCTCCGTATCAGTTTCGTGAGGACTGCGGATAACAGAACTATCGCTTTCTATGGTATCAATTCGATATTGTTCTCCATTTTCAAGATCTGCATCAAACTCATCACCAGAATCCTCTTCCAACCACGAACGAATTTGTGCTTGCATTCGATCGTCCATTTTGTATCTGTAGTGTAGCTAAAAGAAAAATAAAAATAATAACATTATTACTAAATTTTTTGAGTTTTTAAATGATAATCAACTAATATAAATCAAACAAATAATAATAATAATTTAATAATAAGAAATAATATGGCAGAAATAACAATCTAACTTTTTTTAAACCACAAAAATAAATACTTACACGGATGGGCGCGTGATGAGCAAATTGCCGCACGTTGGTACACGGCCTTCACAAACGCCTTGCTGCGCGGTCGCAACGCCACTGAGCGGATCGAGAATTGCGTCAGGGGAGAGGGGGTGAATATTTAGGAAGGTACTTAAGTGCTTGAATTGGTGTGGCAACGGAAAGACAAAAAAATTTTTGAATTAAATTTTTGTGTGAGCAAATTGCTCATAGCGCGCCTTCTCCCGGGTTAATATTACTTTTCATTAATATTGGAATGTAAAATAAATAAACAGACTAATACTAATTTTAAGAAGTTTTATTATTAACATGTTTATTTATTTAAAATGATAACATGTGAACATATATTGCAAAGAAAACCAAATAAAATAATTTCAAATAATGTTTTTTATGGAGTTTAACTTATTAAAAGTGGTATGATCAGCGTGAGATTTACCGTTCGGAGAAGAAAATACGGAGCGGAACGGCATGAAACGAAATTGTATAAATACTTCTCTCTATCTTTCACAAAGTTAATAAAGAGTAGGGGGCCCAACAGAGAGTCTTGAGGTATTCCTATGGAAACCGGTAGTCAAGTGGACATAAAGCCATTTGCTTGTGACCTATTCTCAATATAGGAGGAGAACCATCGCAGAAGGTCTCCGTGTATACCTGACATTGCCAATTTGTTTAAAAGGATTTGCTGATCTATTCGTTCGAAGCATTTACTGTAGTCAGTATAAATAGTCAACTTGGAGATCAATGCATACTTTTTGAAAGATAATTATTTATAACGATCAGATTATTAACAATTGATTTTTTTAAGAAATCTATGTTGGCATCACTAAGTCCCGTATTAATAAACGTTACTCAACGACGAGCTCAAGTACGTAATCATTTGATACGCCCTCATTGTGATATCAGCATCTCAAGAGCGTTGCTAATTAATAAACACATAAAAACAGTATCTCAATTACCAAGATCAGTTCCCAAAGACATTGTACTTAGGGATACTGTTCTGTGACTTGAGGGCTTGATCTCGTGAACGATTACGTCGCACAGATCGAAGTTTAGAATATAATTCATCACGTTTCGTTTTTGCTATGTCATGAGATTTATTGAATACCTTTATTTTGATAAAACCTAAATAAATAGAGCTGTATCACGTTATATGGTTGTTTTCTACTTACGAAAAGCTTAAATTTTTAATACTATTGTGTATATCTTTCTAAATACGAACTAAATATTCACTACTTAATTCAATATTGTACATATTACAACAATAACCTAACGCAAATCGACGACAGCATCAGTCTCAAATATAAAACTGACGTATCATTTTTGACACTTGAAAATAATATCTTGTACGTAACTTTGATCTCGCGAGAAAATTGAAAGCAAGAAGCGTGTTTTTACTCCTATTGAGAAAAAAGGCTTTCTCGAAGTTATTAAAAAATATAAGGCTATAATTGAAAAAGAAACCGATGGCACGTCTCTACGCATTAAAAATGAGGCCTGGAGCAAAATAACCTTTGAATATAATGCTAGTCCATATGCTTCCAGCCAGGTAGGTAATTAATTAGAGCACTACAAATATCACTTTTTAAACAATATAACATCAGTATATCTGAAATTTTACCTAAACCTAATCGTGACAGATTTATTTTATCTTACAATCTACATTAATATTTCAGGCAACAACTAAACAATTACGTCGCCTATGGATGAATTTGAAACAAAGGCAGAGAGAGAGGCACTAACAAAGGAACGCCAACACCGCTTGGCCACTGGAAGAGGGCCTTCAATAAGTAATGCCACCATCGACCCTGATGTTCCGAAGTAGCCCCAGCACTTACTGTTGGTGTAGATAGTGCTATTGATTCAGATGCAGTCCTAAGTAAATATATATATATATATATATATATATATATATATATATATATATATATTATATATAATAGTATATAAATAAATTCATATACAGCTCTAATCAATATGTCTGAGGTTAATTTTACAAATGTTTTTATTTCAGACATTAAGGAGGATGACATGATGCAACCGATACATATAGAGGAAGTGGATGAGACGTTGCCTATTGAACCAATAGGGATAGCACCAGAAAATATATCATCCACTCATAAAGCATCTACACTCACCTTTGTCGCTCAAATAGTCCCTAATATACCAAAAAGAAAACCAACAGCCCTGACAGGTCAGCGTCAGAAGTACTCAATTTTGGAGAGGGAATACAAGGATAGGCAAATGAGGGCTAATGAAAAACATGAAATGGAAATAAAGATTCTTCATTACCAGCTCCGAGAAGCCAAGGTAAAAGCTGAGCTAGCTGAGCTGATCCTTAGTCAAAAAAACAATGTTGCTCAGGTAGTGTTATTATAATGATTATTTTGTTTTTTAAAGTGCTACATATCTACAAATAATGTTAAATGGTCCGGTGAATCCGCTCGTTATATTACAAAAATCACATTTTGAGACATATAATGTAATACAGAGCACTTGAAAGCACAGTTTGACTATTTCTTGTGGTTTTCATTCAAATATAAGCCTTTTGTTTTTTGTTACAGATGTGACGTACATTGCAGCATAATATGTAATGCATCCATCATTTCCTAAGTGATATTATTATATAAAATAAACAGACATTTAATTTCTATTATAGTTGTTTAATTTCAGTATTTCGATGTGATATGATATTTGAGTATGTCTTTAACTATTTTAATAACTTTTAATTAATCAAAATTAGAAACAAAAATGTTTTTATTCAATATAGATTATAAATAATACTTATTAAAAGTCTCTCTTTTGTTTAATTTACCACTGGTTCAGAAAATATCTCTGTCCTGGAAAGAACCAGCAAGAAACCTAGATAACTTTTTATATTTAAAAAAGATTGCAATCATTTATGTTACATAATTAACAATACAAAACAAATTAGAAGCACCTCATTTCCAAGGGTTATCATCCATAAATTCCTTAATATGTATAATAATCCTTTTTATATTAACAAACTTAGTTTAATAAAGAATTTGATATACTTACTTAATAAACTACATTTAGATATGTAAAATATCTTAAATTTAGGTAATAACTGAAATATAATCTTTTTTTTACAGAAAAAATCAATTATTAAAAAATAAAACCATCTTCATTTAAATATCTAGATTATAATAATTTATTGATAGAAATTTTCAATAATTGTATTTCTTAGTAGAAACCCAGAGCTAGTACCAGGTATCAGTACTTGGTTCATCTTCCTCTACATTTTGGTCTACTCCATCAGAAATATCAATATTATCATTTAAAATTAATGATAAATTGTGCAACACTGCACATGCGACTGACAATGTTGAAAGTTTGTTACATAACCCCCTTGATAGACAAAGGAACCTACGTTTCCAAATTCCAAAAGTTCTCTCAACAATATTTCTTGTTTTTATTTGTGCTCTGTTATAACGAATCGAAGGGGAATCTTTAGGAGATGGTTTAATAGGCGTAAGTAAAAATGGCAATGCAGGATATCCACTATCACCTACAAGTCTTCCATCCGGGACAGCCTGGGAATATTTCACGTACACTGAAGACATTTGAAATATTCTGGAGTCGTGCATGCTACCAGCCCATCTAGCAACTATATCTAAAATTTCCTTTTGTGGACCAACAACAACCTAAAAAATATAGAACATTTACTTTTTATTTTTCAATTTATAAGGGATTTTGTTGACTATAATGTTCAGATATGTGACTGTAAACAAACAATATTTTACAGCAAACATAGATAACACATGCATACCTGCACATTAATTGAAAAATATGACTTCCTGGTCCTGTATACTTCATGATGTCTGCATTCTGGAGTATTTATAATTTTTATATGAGTGCAGCCCCGGAAGTCCAGGCCAACGTCCATGATTTCCCAAGTTTTTGAAAAGTTCTCTGTTTTTACTAGCCTGTTCTCCTTGAGGTATTTTTATGTATTTTGTGTGAAGAAGAGCCAATAGTTTTGAGACTTTAGTTACAACATTTGATGCTGTAGGTTGAAATGTATTAGATCCCCACAAATAAGCTGAAATATAAATTGATTGAAGATTACATTTTCATAGAAATATATTTTTAATGTTCATTAATGAGGACTAATAAACTTCCGCTCACCAGATGTTGCTAGTGGACATTGAGTTGAAGTTATTTTAATGTTATACAATTTCATTTAAATGAGAAGTTAGTTTTAAATAAAATTTTATCAGTTTTTAAACTATCATATTAATACACAGAACAATGCTCAAGTGGTTTGCTCTTTAATTGTTTGCACATTTTTAACTCTCTTTGAATTTTTCTATTTTTGTTAATATCTGTGGTTCTGTTTATTTATTTTTAACCTAATTAATATACAATATAAGTAAAAGTACAGAAAGTACATTTTTTGAACAAATTAACTTCCCCAATATGAAATCTGTAAAATATTACAAATCATTGTTAAGGGACTGGGCCTTAGTGGCAGAAAAGGTCGTAGTTGCTCTCATTACCTACTTTGAAATTTAATACCTACATTATATTAATAGCCAGAGCTCCTCTCCGTGCTTGGCCTTGTGGTGTGCTAGAACCGGTTGTTTAGATGTGCTTGCTGTGTTCGGTGTCTCCTGCTTGCGGAGGAGATAAATCGGCTTCGTTAATTTATCCGTCTTAGCCGCAAGGCTGGCCTTTTCAAGCCTTTTGATGTTATCGCTTTTCGTAGTTCTTCGCGTAAGTTCTTTGCCCGCCGCTTTTATATTACGCACAGCTAGCCTTATTACCCTAACGAAATTGCGTTTTAGGTTGCGAG